CCGGGCCGTTCCAAAATCGGAACAGGCCGTTCCCAAGTCCAGAACGGGCCGTTCTCGAATTGGAACAGGCCGTTCCGAGGCTCCTAAAAGGCCTATGATTTGTAGGCTGGAACGGGCCGTTCCAGAATTGGAATGGGCCGTTCCAATCTCCTAAAAAAGGGTTTTTAACCTTAACTGGAACGGGCCGTTCTGAAACTGGAACGGGCCGTTCCGAAACTGGAACGGGCCGCAGAGCTTGGACTTACTGATCTCGTTCATGCACCAGAGTCTCCATTAAAGTTGGAAACTCCTTGCTCATTTCCTGAATAACAAGAGTTAGCATGTCACTGTCATCCATTTCCTTCAGCTAAAGAAAGCAAACCCAAGTTAGGATGTAGACGATAACTTCACAAACACAATCAATTCATACTTATCACTAGCAAATGAGGATTGTGAAATTTACCATCTTATTAAGATCATCAGAGCTGGGTAAAAACACTGCTTGAAAAAATAAAGAGTATAACAATTTTGTCTTATGCCAAAGTGGCATCTTGCTCCATGTTCTCCTCAAAGTAATCTGTCTCAACCAAATTCAGAACCCAAACAAAAAGGTTCAACATCAAGTAAACCAAGTAAAAAGCAGACATATTAAAATAGTAAATGTTGAAAATAAAAATTACTTGAATTAAACTAATTTAGTACAATCCAATATATTTCCAATGCTTTGAAAAGAAAATCTCATCCAACCTGTACAGGACGATCACCAAGTATTACTCTGCCACCATACTTGATGGCTTCTTCATATGCCACACGAAACTCAGAGCCAGGAAAGACCTCAAGTTTACTAGCAATCTGTCAGAATTTTAAGGAGAGAAAAAGGAGGGTATATGATAAGTATAGCATTAATAAATAAGAAAAGGGCAAATATTAATAATTGAAAATCAAATAAGGATGATACATATGATTCTCAAAAAAAGAAACCTGCCTTGGCAAGGAACCAGCCATAAAGTTAAACAAGCCTCTGTGTGTGATGTTAAAACACCAGTAAGCCATACAAGTATTCAGCCATTAGACAACAATAATTAGGATTATCATTTTATGGCTAAAAGAGATGATTATTTTCTCTTTTATGTAAAAGGAAAAATAAATTACTCATAAGTTGACAGATAAAAGGTTTAAATCGTCAAGGTAAACAAGCCTCTGTGTGTGATGTTAAAACACCAGTAAGCCATACAAGTATTCAGCCATTAGACAACAATAATTAGGATTATCATTTTATGGCTAAAAGAGATGATTATTTTCTCTTTTATGTAAAAGGAAAAATAAATTACTCATAAGTTGACAGATAAAAGGTTTAAATCGTCAAGGTAAACAAGCCTCTGTGTGTGATGTTAAAACACCAGTAAGCCATACAAGTATTCAGCCATTAGACAACAATAATTAGGATTATCATTTTATGGCTAAAAGAGATGATTATTTTCTCCTTTATGTAAAAGGAAAAATAAATTACTCATAAGTTGACAGATAAAAGGTTTAAATCGTCAAGGTAAACAAGCCTCTGTGTGTGATGTTAAAACACCAGTAAGCCATACAAGTATTCAGCCATTAGACAACAATAATTAGGATTATCATTTTATGGCTAAAAGAGATGATTATTTTCTCTTTTATGTAAAAGGAAAAATAAATTACTCATAAGTTGACAGATAAAAGGTTTAAATCATCAAGGTAAACAAGCCTCTGTGTGTGATGTTAAAACACCAGTAAGCCATGCAAGTATTCAGCCATATTATACTTTATCTTTCCAACTGTCCACTCATCTGAAACTAATTGGAAAAGAAGAATACTGATATTCTCTAAGTGTAATTTATTTCCTCATATGTGTTATACTCTTATGCACATAAATTACAAATTCGAACAAAACAGTTCAAAAGAGGTTTAGTTCAAAAGAGGGGGGGGGGGGGGAGGCTGGTACTCCCGACAAACGATACAATAATTAGAAAAGCACCAAATTAAAGGATAGAACCTTAAGATTCTGAAGGGTAAGCACTGCCACCCGACTCGAGCACAATTCTAGGAAGACAACCTGCACCAAACAAAGACCAGCCATAGAGTTTCAACATTTAAAATCCACAAAACCAGGCGTCATGAAATCAAGAACAAACAATCAAGCACGAGAACCATCGATTCCCAAACCAAGTGTTACAAAGTTCAAAACAGAAACAAAACCTGCGGTTTCAGAAAATTCACTATAGCTTGAACTTCTCTGCTTGATTCCTGCAACAAGAATTCAGTATAAACTTTAAACTCTCTTACAATTCCCCAACTGTACTTATTATTACATCAACTAGAATCGATACATGAAGACAAAACACGGCTATGCATCGTTTCGAAAATGACACAACAACAATTCCAATTGAAAAGAATACAGAAAAAGAAACCCTAATTTTTCGTTCCGGTTGAACACAGTGCAATGCATGATGAACCGAACGAATACCTCGGACACGTGAGCGGTGCCGACCAAGTAGACGTCGCAAACGCCGCCTTCGGCGGCGGACTCGCACGACAGAACCACCACGTTTCGGGAGAGCTCCTCCGGGAGCGTAAGCGGACGGCGATCGGAATCTGTCGAGGCTTCGGTGGCGGAGGAAACGCCGTCAGCGTCGGAAGTCTCAGGCTCGTCGATTCGAACCATGCTCTCGGAGAGGCTCTCCATCTTCAGATCCGCAACGTGGACGAAGTCTTCGGCGGAGGCGGCGGGGGCAGCGGGCTCCGGCGGGGGCGCATCCATCGCCGGGCGGAGGAGAGGGTGCGTTGGGCGGCGCGCGGTGGCGGAGGTCTTGGTGGAGAATTGGGGGAGAGAGAGGGTTTGGGAAGAGGAAATTGTTGTGAGGAAAGGTTTGGGGCGATGAATGAGCGGCGTGACTCGGGCGAGTTGAGTGACCAGGTGAGTCATAAGCTGATGAAGCGTGAAGGAATGCGGTTTGTGCGCAGTGAAAGTGAGAAATGGGAATAGTGTGCGTTGGAATGTGGACCCATCTCTCCCACAAGTTATTCCATGAGTGTTCAACCACAACGGGTGCCATTCAACAGTAGATACCGCGACTTTAAGGATTTGTTTGGATGGAAAAGAGGGAGCGGAAATGAAGGGATTTGAAGGAAAAGTGAGGTTGTTTGGACTAAGGAAAAATGAGTGAAAAGTGTAGAGAAAGTTTGTGAATGAATTGATTGATGTAATAGATAAAAATAAATTTTTTAATTGATAATTTTATAAGATTACTACTTTGCCTTTAAGTTAAAAAAAATTTATAATTATTATAATTAAAAGATAAATATAAAAATTTTAACTAAAAAAATAAATATAAAATCTTAATTTAAAAATAATTTAATTTAAATATTTGCTTTAAATTTAATGATAGATAAAAATTAAAAATTTAATAGGTGAATATGTAATTTATACTTTTATCCTTGAATTAAAAATGAGTATAATATTATTTATTATAAATAATAATAATTACAATAAAATTATATTAATAGGTATAATTTATTAAAAAAATAATAAATAATGATAATAATAATAATAAATATTAGAAAAATAATAAGAATCATAATAAATAATAAT